GAGGGTTTAGAGGATTATTTTGAGTATGAACTCGAGAGCGCACAGTACAAAGACTCTGAGTTGGGAGAACTCAGAGGAAGGGAGACGAGGATTGGGTCGCCTTATGACGTGGCAAAGTGTAAGATGACAGAGGAGCCTGGGTCTTCAGTGGTTCCCTCTATAAACAGGGATAAATGATGAAAGAAGTCCTGGCAGCTTCAGGACAGATGGCCAGCAGGCTGAGCGCCGGGAGGGAAGAAAAATGAGTGCTTGGGGGTTTCCTTTCTACGCTTTTGAGCAAAAATAATGAGATCTCCATAAAACCTTACATTTTATCTAATTTCTTATGATATTTGATAACATATAGCCCAGTGACATTCTTGAAATCATCTTCACTACCTACTTTTATATTCTCCTATCACCTCTCTTACCAATCCTTTTCATCCACTGACTCCTTTATTCTATTAACTCTTTAACATTTTGTAGTTCACTCCTGCTCTTTTGCTCACTCTACATGCAACCTCATGTTCCCTGGTTGATTTAATCTATAGGTACAGTTTCAGCCACCACCCATATTCAGCTTTCTCAAGACATCTTCCTCTGGATAATCAGGGAATAGACATTCCAGAGAGTGCACATCTCCAAGAAACAAACACACCTCTTTGACAAACCAGGTATTCCGTCAATACTCCCTCTCTACTGTAAAAGATAATGGTATTTTTTCCAACTTTATCAAAATTTGGCTGAAGTTAGGCCCCAAAGTTGAGAACTACAAACAAGAACCATCTCAAAACACTCCAATAAGGACAAGAAATCCATGCCATTCTTTCTTAAAGATAGCAATTACGTAACCTACCTCCAAAATATCAAAAATTAAAACAAATATATTAGAAGTAGAAATGAATTTATAAAACAGAGACTGCTGGGGCTTTATATGTCAATGAGAACAAAGACAGGAATTCACCAAGAAAAACTATGGGGTAGACTGAATTACAGCAATAAGAATGTAAAAATCTTTATCTGACAAGCTCACAACATATTGAGATAAAGAAACTTACACTTGTCTTAGACTATCTACCAGCGTAAAAGAAGAAAGTTCTTACAAGAGTCTTTAAACTCCTTTAATACATCTTTGTATCTGTTAGCTACTGAGCCAGCTTAAATGTGAAGTATATTAAGAATGTAACTCAGTGACTCTCTATTCTTTCTTTTTTTAAATTTTATATATTAAATTTAATACTAGACACTAGTCATTAGTTTTTGTAACAAGTCCCCAGATCTTCCTAAAGTTCAACCAAAGTTGAGAATCACTAGCAGAACTGACCTCTCTCAGAATCCAGATGTATTTTCCCCTAACTATCTTTTATGCCACATGTCATCTTTTTTAAAATACAAGTCTCATATTATCTTAGAGCAGTGGTTCTCAATCCAGGCCGCCCACTGCAAACACACAGGGAATTTTTAAAAGCATTAATACCAGGCCAAATTCTTGAATAAGAATTAAAACAGTCTCTGGTGATAAGAACCAGGCCTAAGGTTCTTACTAAGGTCTCTCAGATAATTTCAAAGTGCAAAGTTGAGAATCATTGCCTGAGACCCAACTAGAAGCCACAAAAGCCTGTAAGAATAATAAACTCCTAACTCCTCTGAAGGTAATGAAAGCTTCCATCTAACCTAGCACCCTTAGCTTTCCCATACAAGAACAATGTATGTCCTACAAAAGACACACTTTTATACATTTGTGTAAAATATTATCCCAATTAAGGGAGCCCCCTCTGCTCAGCTAAGACCTAAACCACCTTTAAGGTTAAGACCTTTCAAGAAGAGCCTTTTGTATAAATCCTCCATGATATAACAGCAGAAGTCTTCAATTTACCTGTGATGAGTAACACTATGATTCTGACCACGATGATTCTGAGGGTAATTTTTAATGTTTTAAGCCTTACTTCTCACCTGAACTACTTGAAATTAAAAACTGACTGATACTTTTATCCCCATTGATTATCACTATGCATAGCACAGAGTAAGCACTTCTGTAACTGCTGACTTTATTCCATGTAAGAAATAATTATTAATATATACAGGTAGAATCCATTTTAATAAATTATGTAATATGAAACATTTAGATATTATAATCAAGTATCATCAAGATACAAACTAATAGGTAGACTTTTTAAAAATGGAAGGTAAGCTGTTAATGTTTGCTTTATTTATAAACAGTAAAAAAATCAAGAAAAAGGAAGGTACAAATGGCAGTATGTTTCCAGATTCAAATGGGAGGCCCTTCCAGAATAGTAACACTTGGTTTTCTACTTGAATATGTTCTTTACAACAAATCTTTTTTAGGAACTCTCTTAACACTTTTGATGGGAAAGTAGACTGGCCTAACCCCTATGAAAACAATATAGAGACTTCTCAAAATATTAAAAATGGATCTGCCACGATTGAGCAGTTCAACTTCTAGTTATCTATTTGAAGAATACGAAAAAATAATTCGAAAAGAAACTTACATTCCCATGTTTACTGTAGCACTATTTACAACAGTCCAGCTAGGGGAATAACCTAAGTGTCCACAGAAAAGCTAAGTGATTGAAAAGATGTGGTATAGACATAAGGGAAGACTATTCAGCAATCAAAAAAAAATGGATGGAGCTGAAAGGGATTATGCTATGAAATATAAGCCAGAAGGAAAAAGATAAACACCAAATGCTGTCACTTATATATGGAGCACAGAAAAACCAAACAAAGGGTCAGACAAAGACAAAATTTAAAACCAACCCTTGAAAGTTGATCATAGAACTGAGGCATCATAAAGGTAGAGAATATGGTGGAGACAGAGCACAATGGATTATAGTGGAGGAAGTGCTTACATTTGTGATGGGTGCCCTAAGGCAACTATACACAAAGGAGGAGTTTCTCCACTTCCAAAACATTAATAAGTATGTAAACCAATGGCACTTTAAAAAGATACGTTTTTATCCAAAGCAATATAGAGGTTCAATGTAATCCCTGCCAAGATTCCAATGGCACTTTTCAAAGAAATGTAACAAGCAATAATTAAAGTCACATGTAAAGTCACAAAAGACCCTGAACAGCCAAAACTCTGACAAGAAAGTAGAAGATGTGACAAAGGGTTGTTATCCAAATATATGCTGACCTCAAACAACTCAGTAATAACAACAAAACCAATTAGCTCAATCATAAAATGGGTAGAAAAGCTAGATAGATATTTCTCCAAAGCAGACATACAGCCAGCCAACACATGAAAAAATGCTCCTTATATACTTAGCATCAGGGAAATGCAATTCAAAACCACAATGAGATACCATCTCACACCTGTGAGAATGGTTCAACTCAAAAAGACCAGAAATAACAAGCACTGGCAAGAATATATGAAGAACATTTTTACATTTATACTCAGTGGGAATGTTACTGGTCTAACTCCTTCAGAAAACAGTATTGAGCTTTCTCAACATTTTAAAAATAGATCAACCATATGACCCATGAATTCCTCTCCTAGATATCTATCCAAGGAATACTAAAAACACTTATTCATAGGGATATGTGTACTCCTATACACTGGAGCCCTATTTAAAAGAGCCAAAGAATGGAAACCACCTAAGTGTCCAAGGAAAGAGTGTGAAACAGAAAATGTGGTCGTGTAAACACAAAGACACACACACAATTCCAGTCAACTGTAAAAAAAAAATGGAATTCCAGTCAACTGGGCCCTCCCTGGTGGTGCAATAAGTTAAAGCACAGCACTGTGAAGCTGTCACAGCCACTGCACCACAAATTTAATCCCTGGCCTGGGAGATGACCCACATAGCATGGCAGATCTCTCCTGTCTTGTCCACTGCTCCCTTCAGCAATGTACTTCAGTAGATCCGCCTGTTCTGTTCCCCACTCTGTCTTTGGTGAATCATTTTAACCCGTGCGCCTCTGGCCTGTACCCCAGCTCTTGTGTACATAAATAAATAAATCTTTAAAAAAAAAGAAAAGATGAACTGCCTTTTGCAAAAACATCAGTGAAACCAAGTGAATGATAAGTGAAATAAGCCAGGAGAAAGACAAATACTAGATGGTTTCACTTTCATGTAGAATATAGAGAGACAAAACAAAGGGGCAGACAAAATCAAACCAAAATCAAAACCTTGACATCTGAATGCTAAATTGAGGCAACCAGGAAAAGAGAGTGGGGGAGGGAGAGGACCCAAAAAAAGGATGATTAGGCGAAGGATGATTGGAGTTTTGGTGGTGGGCATGGTGTAAAAACATACAATTATAGAGGTCTGAACCAATAACCCTAAAACAAATGCAATGATGTAAATCAAATTTACCTCACTGAACATAACTAGAGAGGGATATATACCTGTTTTAAAACATGTTGCATAATAACATCTGTAAATTTAGAAAGTGAGCTACGACTACTTACTTTACCTAGGAATAAAATGACAGGTACATTAAATGAAAAGAAATTATGAAAAGTTTCCAAGTACTCTCAATGAATCGTACTAAGCTTTAAGATATCTGATTATATAGTTACCAGCATTTAACAGCAGTTTGTAGTAGTCGAGGCACTATGTTATCCAGCAAAAGTTCAGCTCTCCATGCCACCTGTGATAGCTTAGGCAGAGTACATAAAGTATTTCATATTTTAAAAAATCTCACTTAACATTTTATATTCATAAAATCACTCTGTATGTTACTTACCCAAATATGATAACTTTGCACAAATATTAACTGTAAAGGAGCTAAATATATATTCAAAAGATTTTTATTTTACCTACATTCCTATGAGCCATGGAAATTATTTCAGCATGCAAAATGTTAACTATGTTACTCTGTATTCAGAATAAGTTTTTGTCAAAAAACTTAACTGTCCTATATTCTTGATTATTAAATTAACTGAATGTCTATTACTTGCTAGGGAATAGATTAAAACTAGTATATGAAGTGACCAGCAAGAAAATAAAGATATTAACCACAGTACTTGGCATCTGTGGCTAATCTTTTTTTACCTTATTTGGCGACTTCAAAGGTGAGATGGCTATTTTATTTGGTGTCTGTGTTGTAGAATTTAAAGTTGATCCAATAACACCACTTTCAGATATTGTTATGGTCTTTGATGGAGTCCCAGGAGTAGACTGTGAAAGAACCCTACCTGCAATGAGAGGCAGCACATCAGTTTGATTTTTTTCAATGATAGTATAAAAAAGAATGTGATGATGATCTATACCCACAAAGACTATAGTGTGTGTGTGTATATTCACTAGTCATATTTTTCCATGTATGAACTTAAAACACGTGAGTCCCTAATCAACTAGGGTGAACCTAGGCAGAAGAACAAAATAATACTTAGTGACACCTTATCTTTTTTTTTTTGACACCTTATCTTAACATCACTTTACTTAAAGTCTACAAAAACATTTCTGCTCATTAATACATTTTTATCAACATTATTGACATATCTATCAGAAAATAGGCTCATGACATCTAAGAAATATGTGCTGTATAACACAGCTCCTGGAAATGAAGGCCTGAATCCCAGTCTTAAAATATAAGTTTCTGTTCTCTGCTATACTACAGCTCTCTTCCTGTTTAAATGTAAAACTTTCAGGATACAATTTAAATCCACATCTATAAAATAATTATTGGAATAACTTAAAGCACTGTGTGGTTTTTACAACGTCAAAAGAAAAAAAATTGTTTTTTCTTCTGTCCTGGCCATAATCCAACAGGAATACTGTGTTCCCTTTTGCACTATACCCTTCAGAAACAAAACAGAAAATCATAGTGTGTCCGAATAGCTTAGGGAATAGGAAATCTTATAATGAGGTGTAGTATTATGAATTTTTATCTTAGACAAGAGAGGGGTGCAATGAAATGACACATCTCCAAATTTCTGAAAGAACATACAAATCATTAGTGGCATACACTAGGATTCAGGCTCTCACCATTGCAGGTGGTGGTAGAACTGCACTTCCAGCCCCACTTATGACAATTAATTTAGGGCCATATGACCAGTTCCAACAGTATCATTTCTGGGCTAGAACATTTGCTGACTATGCAGGACTTTCCCAAAACTTTCTTTTCTTTGCCACACGTGAGGTGGTATATCTGTCAGTCTGGGTCCTTGAATGACTATATAAAAGTCCCCTTTCTAACCTATAACGGACATGAAATCTGAATGAATACTAAAATTTTGGGTTTTAAAAAAAATCTTCTAAGATTCAGAGCTTGTTTATCATGACAGAAAAGCCAAAATTATTCTGAGTGACCTTGGCTGTCAGTTGAAGGATTAGAACCAAGCACTAGTATACAGAAACAGAAAGTTTTCAACTTAGGACTAAGAAAGAACTACTGAAATTTTACAATGAAATGACTGTTTCAACATAAGGGAGTTTGTAATTACTGAAAAGTTTCCTGAGCAGCTGTTAGATAACCAAACCTATGCTGGTTAAAAGGGAGTTTAATTACCCAACAACTCCAGAGGTAAATAAATAAAATTACTTCTAAAATCCCCTCTCATCTTTAGATGCTATGATTGAACTTAAAGGTATAGCTAGAGATGAAACAAAGGAGAAAGGGAAAAGAGAACAACAAGGGACTTTCTCTTTAGAGAAAAATTATTATTTATTAGTTGTTATTTATTACCTTTTCTGTAAATAGCATAGCTACTTTTCTTAAGTGAATCAAATCTTAACAACCACAAATTTTAAAACTATGTTAAACAAACTTTTTGTTACTTTGTAGTAATGATTATATTTAATTTTATAGATGTATTCCTTCATGAATTTGTTATGTTTCTCAGTCAGCCTGAATTGCATCACACTGAAATAAGCCAATTTTATAAAATAAATCTTCATCAAACAGTTTTAGAAGATCATCCTAAAATTTGCCAGTTCTTGATTCTAAAGCTAATATCTATGGATAAGACTGAAGCTGCCACAACCACTATATTAAGATAAAAATATCCAATAAAGGTCCAATGTAATAAAATATTCATCTTTTTGGTTATTATAATTTATTAGTTGTTAGATATGACATATTTCAGAAACCATCCACATAGAAAATCCTCAAATCTAACAAATCTAACAAACTGATAGGAGAGAAAGACGACTTCAAGTGAATTCACTTAAAACAGGAGTAATTCTTTTCATTATAAATAAGAGAACTAAAGGTAAAACCTCACTTTTCCCCCCTTTTATTTAACAAAAATAATTATAATTACAGTCACCCTTAAGGTGAACAAAGGACAAACCAACTGTTGAGTTTGAGGCAAAGAGGAATCTTCTGAAATTTTTTATGACATTTTCTGCTTGATGGGTGCAACCTGACCATATAGGTCATTCCTTGCAAAATAACTTCAAGATTTCGTCAATTTCTTCAAAGGGCCCTTTCAACCCTTTAAAATCCAAGCTATTCTTTTTGAGGAGACTGCTTGGTTTTTATTCAGATATAACTCTTCCAATAATCTTATTTAATCTCTAAATCCCTAGTTGCCCTTAGTCCCACAGACAGATTCAAACACATATACAAGTTACACAATCTCACCCTGAAATCAATTTGCAAGGTATCTACACTCTACTGTTAGAAGTTCTCCAGAATTAAGAAACATACTCCAAAGGCTACCAATAAGACAAACTGAGGTTGGGAAACTAAGCACATCTGAGTAAGAACTAATTTTATTAGAGATTAATTCAATAGTGAATATTTTCACATTAATGTTTGTTCCCTGTAGCAACCTTATACCCTGAGAACTGTGAAAATGAGGACCTCTGCATCTCACTTAATTACCTCAAGTCTAGTGAAGTAGTTGGCACCAACAATTTACAGATATAAGTATGATAAATAATATGCTGAAAAATAAATGGAGCAGTATTAACTAAAACCTGAGTTTCCAATAGCTCCCTCCCATAACACTATACTACCCCCTACTATGTGTATATTCATGCAACAACCCATATTCATTAAATCTCATCTGTTTGCCAGACACTGTGCTAACTGTTGGAGGGAGAGAGATAAACACTAGATGAAGGAGCTACCGTCAGTGGGGTACATACATGGGATATTATTCAGCCTTAAAAAGGAATTTTTACAAATTCTATTCACTTAGATGAACCATGAGTATAGTATGCTAAGTGAAGCCAGTGAGTCATAAAACAACAAACACTGCAGAATTCCATTTATATGAGCACTCAGAATGATAAGAGATGGAAAGTCTGTTCCACAGGGTAAAGGGAGGAAGGAATCAAGAGTTACTGTTTAATTAGTACAGTGATTCAGTTTTGCAAGATGAAAAAAGTTCTGGAGATCAATGGTGGTAATGGTTACAGAACAATGTGAGTGTACTGAATGCCACTGACCACTTAAAAATGGTCAATTTAAAGTGTTTATATTTTACCACAATTTAAAAAATAATTAAAATTAGAAGGTAAAAAAATAAACATTAAGAAAAATACTAAGTTTATTGTGGAAGATAGAGAAGAAAACCATGTATTATAATACAGAATGATTAATGGAAACATAAAATTGACTATGAAATTTAATATAAGTCTAATTATAGTTTAGTATTTGCAGATATAATCAAGTTTTATGGAGATACAGAAATGGCCAGAAGAAGAGTACCCAACTAAACCTAGGAATTTTCCAAGATAGGTGGAGGTAGTACAAAGATAAAATGGATACATAAGCCAAAAGGAACAGCAAAAAAGGAGGTTTAGATAAAAGCAACAGGCCTAAAGAACACGATCAATTTGGTCAGCTGTTAAAATAAGCCAGTAGGTATGGAGGTGATAGGAGGTAAAAATGCTTCAAACATAGGCTCATATGTGCTTTTAATGCTAAAAAAGCACTAGCATTTGATCTTGATCCTGACAGACTGAGGTCAAGAAGTAGATAAGAAGTGGCTATTACCAGAAATTTAAAGAGGGGTGTAACAGGATCAGACGTGCATTTTAGAAAAACACATACAAAAGTAAGTTTCTCTTGACTAAAAGGCAAGAAAAGACATTCATCCTAAATGAAAAATCCACAAATCATTAAAAACCATTTAAAGATACTTTGAAAGATTATTAGCTACAATAAAAAGACGACAGCATCTTTGTGACAAGATAATTCAACAAGAGAGCTTCTCTGGTGGTTAAACATGGCTTCTATGAATTTAAAAGGCTACGAAGTAGTAGTTAACAAGAGAAATTATCAATCTAAACTGAATTTGTTGCCAACAATTCTAGTGAAATTTCATAGGTTTCTACATGTATGCATTTTGGTAGGCTAATAAGTGTTTATAATTAGAAGGTAAAGCAATGATCAATATTTATCATAAGACTCAAAGACCAAACAATGACGTCCAAATTAATGTCAGATGTGAAAGAGGTGAAAAGTTGACATTAGCAAAAATTCATTCAGGTACTTCTGCAACCATTACAATTATCTAGCATACATTCCCAGTAACTAAAAAAATTTAAGGGACATTCAAGAAACAGAAACGACTAAACATTCCTCCTGGTTAGCCCCCTCTACCTCAAAACTTCTCATAGGACAAGTGAACCCTTTTTTCTTAATACATCTAAGTCTTGCTCACTTTCAGACAATTAAAACCCTTCCTGAATTGCTTCCAAACCTAAACTTTTTCTAATCTTTTAAACAAGATTAGAAATCTTTTTCTGGAGTTATACCTGCCTCCCATTGACAGTTTTGAAGACACCAGGCTCCTAAATCACCATAAATCTCTAGTAAGGGTCAAAAGAAAAAAACACTTCTCACCCAACACTACACTCAAACCACAATCTTCCCATGCTTGTTACAATGGAGAAGACTCCCTACATACAGCAAAGACTTGAAAAACCATGAATCACTGCCATTGAGTTCAAAGTTGCCTACTGCCTGTAATTTTATTAAAGACAGTAGTGTCTCTCTCTCTCTCTCCACATATATATATGCATATACAAATATACACATATTATGTGTGTGTTTGTATATATACACATCTATGTGTGTGTGTGTGTATATGTGTATATATATATATATATATATATATATATGTACTAGGAATGGCTAGTTCACATTCTAGGAATGGGTTATTAGCATTTGAAAGTTAGGTAAAAAGTACCGTCCAGAGATGCTTCCATAGCTGTAAACACAAGGTAAAGTAGAAATAAGCTCCTAATTGATGAACGACAAGTGTTAGTAGAACTCTGAATTCAAGACAAATCGCCATAACTGACTTTTCTCTAAATGCGTTGTGTTGCTTGTCAGGCAAAGAGTTAGAGGACAGCTACTCTTAACTAAGACATAAAGAGAATCAATGATGTTTCAAGAGAGGGGTCACAGACTACAATGTGAGGAAGAACTTGAGCAAAGAGGATAATTATTAATGAGAAAGTAGAAGGACTAATGCATCTGAGATTTCAAAGAACTGCTAATTGGCATACAAAGGCAGGTTAAACTACAACAGCACAGGAAATGAAATCAGTTAAGATTTCTATGGTGTTATAAGTTACTGGTGATCATTTCATATTTCAAAGTATATAATAAAGGAAATGTGGCCCACACCAGAGAATTTGCTGGTATAATGTAGCTAAAATTCTGTTATAACTTCAGTAATCACTATTATGTGACAACTCTGTAAATAAATACATATAAAAACATACTCATTAAAATAAGGCCAAAAATTCAAACAGTAACTATGAAAATATAATCTAAACCTATGAGACTTAGTACATGTACCTAGAGACCTTGCATGGGTTCAGTTCCCAGTGCGTGCCTCCATTTCCCCACTGGTAAAATGGGAATATTAGTACCTACCTTATAAGATCACCAGACGAATATATATGTCACTATACCTACAGAACTATTAGCATAGGACAAGAAGCAAATACTACAGATATACTAACAAGTATTATTGGAATTTAATATTTCTTTACTTTCATGGTAAAATTCTACCAATGATTTCCAATAAGGAAACTAAAGTAATGGACTGATTTTGAGAAAAGGAATTTTGTTTTAAGCACACATTTAATAAGTGTAACATTTTTTATTAACTAATTTGGTTTATAATAATATTGTCATACTTATTACAGTAAAACATCAAAGTGGTAGAGCAGCCTTTTTAAATCTAAAAGGCATGTAAATTAAGCTTAGTAAACTATAAAGAAATATAACCTGCAATGACTGGTGGTGATACTTGAGTTGTCTGTCCTGTAACTGCTTTACTATTAATTGGTTTTGCAAAGATCAGCTTCGTGATTACCGGACCAGAGGTTGGTGTTCGAGGCTTCTTAGCAATCTGAAATATATAAATAACTATAAAGACTATTTGTTTCCTTAAAATACCTATCCAAACAAAATTAGACAAAAGATTAATATACAGAAGTAAACATAAAATGAGCTTATTTAACAAAATATATTTAAATACTAAGGTTAAAAACATTTAGAATGGAATCATTCATCAAAACATTAAATATGATCACACATTGAATTCAATATATACCTTTACATTTTACCATAAATTCTTATGTTAGTCCTTGTTATATATGCATGATGAAAACAAAGTGTTTAATGTTTAATATTAATTTTATTTATTATTAAATTTAAATTTAAAAACACTGAAATAGTAATACTTTTTCAAAATAACAAATTTTCAATAAAAAGGTGAAACAGAGTAAGTTAATAAGTGATGAAGACACTAGTGAATAATTACACTGGCCCATGAAATCAAAATATAAGCATACACTAAAGATAAGTTTATGATTAAGACCTTCAAGTTGTAGATCTATATATCAAGAAGGTAAAGTTAAGAGTTGAACAAGTTAATGCTCTAGGATACAAAAATAAGTTTGGCAACAGAAAGACTAGTTTGGGACAAAGGCTCTGAAATATTTACCAAAAATACTGTTTACTGGACTATAAATCCCTTGAAGGGAAAGCTTTTTTGATTTTCGCTAATCATAAGCTATATATTGGCATACTGTGGACATGCACTAAAATCTCCACAAGTCAAAGAGGATTGTATTACTAATTTTTCATATAGAAATTATAAATGTATGCAAAGACAGCCTCTTCTAATAGTTAAAAGCAGAAGTTTAACTGATAAAAATCACAAATTTCTCGATTAACTTGAATACTAATGTTAGCTTTTGGCAAATATGAAAACTAAAGTCCTAATGTACTGTTAATTACTGGAAATTATGACTCAAAATGAATAAACATGGCCATCTTGAATGACAGATATATACCAAAAGCTATACTAGATCATAGAACTTGATAAATATCTGGTTTGTGCTCAAATTACAAATTAACATCTTTTCCTACTTAGAAATATATTACTTCTTACACTCAGCACTTAATACTGACAAAAATTGTAAATGAAATACAATCACATTTTTTAAAACAAGGAAATCCATTACTGTCTTAAAAAATACCCAGTTAAAAAAAAAAAACTACCCAGCTAACAAACCCTGATAGATTCAAATAAATTAATCATTGTCCTTTTAAAAAATGATGCAACTTAGTACAGGAAAAATACTTCCCAATTGTGTTTTCAGGACTAAAATGCTAAAACAAGTGAGAATATGTCATCTTTTCACTTAGTCATCATGTTATCTTAGAAATATTACATATTTCCCTATTTTTAATTAATCTTCACAATCAGGGAAAATATGCAAGTAATACAACCAAAAACATATTAATTATTCAAATGAATGATTTCAACTTGCCCTTGTGGTTGTTTCTTTAGTGAAGCACTGCTTGAAATAACGATTTCTAGTTCCATTAAGGAACCAAGATTTTGCATTATAAATTCTATACTATGTAGAATAAAATCATTTTATTAAGTAAAACAAAGCATAAAAGGTAATTTTTAACAAACATGTGCAATCAGCATATTAACAAAAATGAATCAAAAATGGAAATTTACAAATAAGACAGTCAAGTATGTGACCAACTAATACATACACATAGCTTTTAACACTGTGTTGTATAGCTTTTGGAACTAGTTTGGAGTTATGGCATTCCAAAATGCTTGTTATTACTCTTATGTTCTATGCCTCAGAAACACAGGAAAGTGTTTATATAATTGTAGTTGTTAACTATACCTCTTTGTTACTACTTCTAGCCTCAACTGTCAACCTCTTGCCTTCATTTTTCAAGATGAGTTTCCCTTCTTCCACCTTTACCTGATGTCCATACCCTAACCGTTTCAATACTCTAAATTTAAGATAATGCTAATGACTGTTTAGGAAACAACAGAGAATCATATACACTGTGTAATACTAAACTAAATATTCTGATACCTAAAAAGGCCCTATAAATATGCAGATTTTTTTTCTGTGCTTCAGTCTTGCAGATTACTTCGGAGATTTGACTTGCCTAAAATACTGGCTCACATAGAGCAATATTCTAAATGGGGTTTCTTTTGTTCTTGTTATATGTTTTAATTGTCTTTTTTTAAATCAGCAATATCAGGTTTTATGAAAATAACAACACAGAAAGAAGTTATAGGAATATGACTCCAGTATTTTTTAATTTCAGTATTTAGGAGAGATTAGAGTAAAAAAAAGTAGTGGATATAAGTAAAATTGTCATTGAAACAGTAGGCTTTTACATACAAAAGCCAGTAGGCTTTTACAAAAAACAACGAAAACAACAAACAAAAAACTCCAGTAGGCTTTTACATACAAAATGACATTCTGATTTACATTATCAGTTTCCTGTGAATGTGGTTGTGATTTTTAGTCCCAAAGCCAATTAAACTGGTAGACTAATAAAAAGTTTCAAAGCTGACCACAAAAAAAAAAACAAAAAAAAAAAACACACAAACAAAAACTGAGAATAACATTGATGGAGATAGAGAATACCTCATTCAAAAGATTTTCATCAAAAAAAGTAAAAGTGTCAGATACAAGTGAGAGATAACAATAAAGAACTAAATGATTCATAGTGGCAGAAGAGGTATGAGCAAATTACAACATTTGAGAAATCTTATAAAACTCTTAAATAAAAAGCCCATGAAAAATAAGTTTCTAACTTCTTTGCCAATATAATAACCAAAACATTATTTCTAATGTCAGATAAGAGAGGATAGCTGTCTAAATGCTCCTATTTTTTTATGTACCTACTCTAGTATTCTAACTCATGCCTTTTTTCTAAAAAGTTTTCTTCTAAGAGGAAATGTTCAAAAAAGGAATGTGCTTGTGTTGCCTGGTTTTAAGTAAATCAATGTATTCTAAATGTAGTGGTGACTTACAAAGGTCTATTTGGGCATGAGAACCACCTATATTATGGTCCAAAACCTTCTATCATAGAATTCTATTCATATTAATAATCGATACGATTTTTGAAGAGTTCTAGGGTTTAGAGAACTATACAAGCACTACCTTTTACTGTGTAGTTCGCTATAACCAAATAGCCATCTTGCAACAAAAGCGAAAAACTCAAAGATAAATAAAACCTATTCAGAGGTCTGATGTTGGGAGGGTAGCAACAGGGGGACTCAAATCCAGTTGAGCCTATGTTACCTTCCATCACATGGTAGTGCATTTTCCATCTTATAAGTATGAAATGATGGTAACAGACAGAAAACTCCAGAAAAGAGACATATAATTGCTAGTATGCACTACTGCTGGCTCCAAGAGTTTCTCAAAGCAGCAAATTTTCCTGGACTTTGGTCATCTGTTAACTGAGAAAATCATGTCTAAATGGCTTTTTAACAATACAACAGCAACTCTCCGGCATCTTTATACCAGCAGAACATCTCTGTAATTAAACTACAACTAAGAACAAAATGCATATATAAGTGATTAAACAACTACAAATATACTAATTTGAAATTTAACTAAAATTAAGTTCTAAGTTCTCTGAAAAAAATACTCAAAAGCATTTGACATATCAAATTTAACAAAAATCACACCATTACTAAAAGCAACATTCAAAAGAATTCAATAACTATGCATTTTATCACCCTACAAACATAACTGAGAATCCATTTAATTTTTAACATGCACTTTAAATTAATAAGCCCCCTTTTTTTTACCTGTACTGTTTTTAACTGTTGGGTCTGTAACACAGAGGGCTGAGTTGTAGTATTAATCAGTTGACTTCCTGGGGTCAATGCTGAGACACCAATGACAGGTTTCACCTCTGGCCTCCCTCCAATGGTAACTACTTTAATTTGCTGCGGTGGTAACTTAGCATCTCCTGACTGGGCCTGAGTTGTAACTTTCTGAGCCTGGGGTAGTTGGCTATGGGGTAGTGCTAAAACAATTGGTGAACCAGACTTGCCCAAAGTTGTTAAAATTAACTTCTGTCCATCTGGTTTAAGGGTCTGATTGCCAAGTTTAAGGTCAGATGTCTGTGATACTTTGTTTAAAATAATCTGATTGGCTGATATAGTCACAGGAGTCTGAGCACCAAGTTTTTGAAGGCCACTTGGAAAAGCTGGTTTCACTGTGGTATTAGAATCTGCTTTAGTAATTGTGGTATTCACTGCAACTTGGTTAGTGTGGTTACTGTACACTGTGACTGGTTCCGTGGAAATGGGCGTGGTTGTAGAGTCACCAGTAGAATTTATGTTGACAATTTCTTCCAGTTCTGTCTCCATGGGAATTGGGGATGAAACAATAACAGCCTCAATACTATCATCATCCACTAAAGTTATACCAGTGTCCATTATCTCCTCTGGAAGCAAACTATTCACCTCAGCTGGCACCACCTCCATGATCGTTCTTCTGCTAGAAAGCTGATCAGGTGCTGTAATAAATGTTGAAAAATGAATAAATTACTAGGTTTCAAAGCAGACTTAAAAGGAGAAAATAATTATTCAAAAAGAACACAAATGACGATCATTTCTACTGATGTATAACTGAACACAGGATATTACCAATGCTCATTTAGAATCCCAAAGTTGTATAGGACCAAAACTAAGAGCAAACATTCTCATTCTCCATGTCTCAATCTAAAAGTACATTGTGTTCAGGTAACATTAAGCCACAGGAAGCTCCTTTCAAAGATTACTCATTCAATCTTTTTCATCTTGGACACATCTGGTCATCTTATTCCTTCCCAGTTTATATTTTCTTCCCCATCGGTAGACTAAAAACTTTTGACTCACACACAAAAAATAAATATTTAAATATTAGTGTTTATTAGAAAATAATTTCAAATCTCTGAAGTTAGGGACTAATATGAGTGTACTATGCCATTTTAAAAACCTATTAAATATTTCAAGTGAATTTGTTACAGGAGTTTCCAGAGTAATCCATCTCAGCAACTGTAAATTATATGGGTTACTTCATCCAAAGTTCATACCAAAGAAACCTTTACTCTTAAGAAGATTCTCAAATCCTCCTCAGCCATTTAAAATGTCAAAAAGGAAACCATTTAAGAGGTATACAGCCAGCCCCCATAGAGAAAAAGAAATGGAAATGATAATAAAGCAGATTCCAAACAAATCAGAACTATGCTTTTAGCTAAAGGTGATGCAGAACCTCTAATAAAGGGGTATCTTTACATATTATTATCTTTACATATTAAAGACAGGACATCGTATTTATGACCAACTACCTAGCAATAACTCACTTGCCCAGAGAACATCAAAGATCCATAGAAACCTAAACAGCAATTCTTTCTTTTCTTCCCTTTTAAAAAATATAAATACGTAATACCCATTCTGAGATTAAGGGTAACAGACATGAGTAGAAAATTATACTTGCTAGCACTGACAAATACTAATACTGCCAAGATTACTTATCATTATTGAGTGCTTTCTACCTACCAGTGATGACATAATTTAACTTATCCCACAACTGTGAGACAGTACCATTATTATAATCATTGTATAGACAGGGAAACAATTTCCCACAGTCATATAAGTGTGACATAAAAGTGAGACAGAATAAATAGTACAGCCAGAACTCAAACTCAGTAACTGCATTATGATACTAAAGACAATAATTTTATTTGTCTAAGCATTTATTTATGCAAGCAGAACAGGGGCACAGGCCAGAGGTGTGGGGGGTTAAGAGGATTTACCAGAGACAGAGTAGGGAGAGAACAGGAGGACTGACTGAAATACACTGCTAAGGGGAGCTGCGGGAGGTCAGGAGAGGTCTGCCACGCCATGTGGGACACCTTCCCGGCTGGGAATTGAACTCGTGGTATAGTGTCTGTGATAGCTTCTTAGTGCTGTGCTTTAACCCACTGCACCACCAGGAAGAGCCCTAGATCATAATTTTAATTACAAAATTATATTGCCTAAAAATTTTACCACTAATTTTTAAACAGAGTGAAAGAAACAAGTATACTCCTTTATAGTCAAAACCTTGCCCAGAAATCTTACCCTACATAACCAGTGATCTCAGCAGATCACTAGTTTTGCTTTTTTGTGCATTCTAGATCTTCAACATAAATAAAATCACATTTTATGTACTCATAAAATTAAGGAATATGTAATATGAACATTTTCTTTCAGGATGTTTGTGCAAATTCATCTTTATTTTTGAACTTACTAGTAACTTTGTCCTATTTATCACTGAGTAATATTCCACTATACCAATCTACCCTAACTTGTTTATCCATTTGTGGATGGAAATTTAGGTTGTTTCCAGTTTGAATATTAATAGTTTTCAGTTCCATGTTTGAGGCTGCCATAAACATTCAAGTTCTTTATAGATAGATATTTTCATTTCTTTTGAATAAATACCTAGAAGGGAACTTGCTAGGTCACAAGGTCAAGTGTATTTTTAATTTTGCATGAACCTGCCAAACTATTTCCCAAATTGGCTGAACCATTTTATACACCCACCAGCAATGTATGAGAGTTCCAGCTGCTCCACAGCCTCACCAACAATTGGCATTGTCAGTCTTTTTAATTTTAGCCATTCTTTTGGGTGTGAATGATAGCTTGTTGAGGATATTAGATTTTAATTTGCAATTCCCACATAACTAATAATGATAAACTTCTTTTCACATATACATTACCTGTTTGCATCTCTTCTTTTGAAAAGTACCTGTTAAGGTCTTGCTACTTTCAAAAACACACTGAGTTCTATCTTTTTATTCAGTTGAATAAGTTATTTACATGTAATACAAAATCATCAATGACAATAATTTGCAGCTGAAGTTATTTGGGGATTCCAAAGTACCTCTCTCTATGTGGCTCTTCCTAACCAGGAGAATCCCTCCTGGCACTTATAGGCATTTACAATGCAGACATGTAAAATATTGACACCAATTATAACTGCAGCACTAGAAGCACAAGAGTATACAACAGAGGACTCTACCCACAATGTCATATTAATGTCTCTTCCTACTGCAACCTTAGCAGCAGGAATCCCAACACTCTATTCCCCATGGAACAAAACAGAAAATGACTTGGTAGCCAGCATCCAACCCATTCATAAAAGTCTGACTCCCTCTTTTCCCTGAAGTTACTCCAGCATATTTACAAGGATGAGCAGACCTCATCCAATCCCCTTTCATTTATCTCCTTAAAGCACTCACTAAACTCAAAGTGTAGAAGGAAGAATATTCAGACTTAGGGAGGAATTAATTATGTATTTACTTACTTTCAGTTTCAAGCACCCATACTTGAGCCCAACTTTCTACCCTTATGTCTGACACCATTTTCTCAGCTCTGGGGACTACCTGACTCAGCAGTTACAGCCACACTGCCTTTCAGCTAGAGCCATGGAATTGAGTCTATACAACAACCAAAGCACCATGTGGGCTACCTCTCTGTTCAATATTAAATAATAATTTAAGAGATAGAACACTGAAGTATTGTTGACCCAGTAGTCCCCCCAACCCTTGCCCAAAACTTGAGTGAGAACATTTGCTACTAGATACCAGAGAATCTTTTCATATTGCCACCAGGCCCTCATCTTTCCTCTTTCAGAAATATGTCAATGCCATCCACATAGGCATAACTGTGGAGAACTGTCAGAAGCCTAACAATGTAAGTAACATTGTTTTAGATTTATTTATTCACGCGGATAGAACTGGGGTACAGGCCAGAGTTGCAGGGGGTAAGAGGATTCACCAGAGACAGAGCCGGGAACAGAACAGGCAGATTGTTTCATGGATACTAGCAGACAATCCAGTGCTAGCAGACAACCTCTAGTCAGAGAAGCAGGACTTACTACTCACAGCACAGCAATGAACATAAGTATCACATGGGTATCAATTCTTCCATGCTCCCAAGTATCACAGGCAGATATATGCAGACACTGGATATGCAGAAGGGTTGCATCACAACTGAGAAATTTAAACTTAAATAATTTATTACAGATTGAAGCATATTTGCCCTTTGTCCAGAGGGAGATATCTTTATTACACTAGACAATAAGTAGATCTGCCCTTTGCTACAGCTGGATTCAGTATCTCCACTATTCAAGGCTGTATGCTATATACACATCCTGGAAAGATCATTTAAAAGGGCTGTCATTTTCTCACTTATGAAGAGGTACAGAAATGAAAGACCCATGGAGAACTGTCTCCTTTGTGTACTTTAAGTATACAGATCTTACACATATTTTGTTAAATTATCCCTAAGAGTTTCATGTTTTTGATGCAGTGTAAATTTTCTTTCCCCATCTTCCAATGGTGTGTGGTTAGTATTAGAAATACAACTGACTCTTTAAATTTTGCCCATGTATTCTACAATCTTATTAGTGCTAGGATTTTTTAATGTAGATTTCTTATGATTATCTGTAAAGATAACTGATATTATCTGAAAACAGTGTCTGTATTTCTTCCTTTCCAACCTGTTGTCTTTTGTTCTTTTTCTCTACCTTACTATAACTGGCTAGAAGCTCCAGTAAAATGTGATATAAAAGTAGTGAGAACAGAAAATTTTCCTTATTTCCAATCTTACCTGCTGGTTGTAGGTTTTTCATTAATTTTCTCAACCAAATTGAGGAAGCTTGTGAGATTCCTAGTTTGTGTAGCTGTTTTATTTCTTTCAATCATAAATGAATGTTTAATTCTGTCACAATATGATTTTCTTACAACTCTGGGATCTTATGGTTTTTCTTTTTTAATATGCAAATTATACTAATTGCTTTTTTTTAACTAGGCCACCTTTGCACTTTGGAAACTAATCCCACTCAGTCATAATGTATCGTACTTTGTATATATTGTTGAATTCTATTTGCTAAGACTTTCTTAAACATTTCTTCCTGTCTATTTTCATCAGGAATATTGGTCTGGAGTTTTTATTTTTCTTATAGTGGCTGACTGGGGTTAATGCTAGCCTAATTAAATGGTTTGACCAATATTCTTTCAGTTCTAAGGAAAAGCTGCCTTACACTTGTTACTGTTTCTTCCTGTATGCACCAGTGAAGCCATCTAGAAATAAACCTCCTTGTGGGAAGGGCTCTGATTATAAACTCAATTTCTTTAATAGATGTAGGAGTTTTCAGGTTATCGCTTTCTTCTCAAATGCTCTCTGATATTTGATAGTTTGTGCTCTTCTAAGAATTTGTTTTTCCTCTAAGATGCCAAATTTATTAATGTAAAATTACATTTTCTTTTAATATCTATAAAAGTGTCATTTCTTCAGTTCTCATTTTGGTAATTTTGGCTCAGTCTTGCTGGAAATTTATCAATTTTTAAAAAATAATAAAATAGTTTATTTTTACATATTTTTGTGCATTTTTCCATCTCAGCTGTAATCCCCGGGGGCTTCCCATCACCAAATCACCCGTGTGCCATTACCATAGTCCAGTGCATTTCCCTGCCCCTACTGCTGG